GCAGCTTCGAGATGTACAGATTTTCGATAAAAACGCGTACAATTAAGTACATTGAAACTTATCAAAGACATTATCGATAAGTTGTTTAATTCTTTTTTCATCAACAGATTAAACGCTAAATATATGCCAAACGTGACGTCACAATTTAGTCATTCTTTTTGTATATAATGCACGTAGCACATAAACTGAAGTATAAATAAATACAACGGAACATATACGTGATGCGTACTAAACTTTTTGTTATTAATTTCAGAAGATAATTACACATTTAAAAATAACAATAAGACATCGTAAATGTCGACGTGCATTTAAAATTATTCCTTCGATAACGTAAGATTGAGCATATAATGGCAATGTTAATTAATCAATGTATTAAAATGTACATCATACTTTGTACAACATATTTCAACAAAGAGCTTCATTTTTCTTTCTGAGTTGTCCACATTTGCCACATAACATAATTGTAAGATTATAAGTAATATAAAAATTGAACGTAAATTTCATCTTTTATTTCTTCCTATATTTATAATTAGTAAATATACATTAAATTGCACAATTAAAATTTCAATATATATATGTAATATTATTTTAAATCTTTCTATTTGCATTAATGTATTTATTGCTAAATATGATTAAAGAAATTATAACAATGTTTAGAAATAATAGTATATATTTATTTAAAGTAAAAAATTATTTACATATTTGAATAAAAAATATAAACACTTTTAAATTATAAATTTTATAGCTATATTTCTATAATTTTTTTTATTTTATATATACATATTTTAAATCTCAAAATTATACAAATAATGCAAGGAATGTCAAGATATTATGTTTTTATTTTATTTTAATTTTAAAACTAATTTGTAATATAAATGTTACAAAATAATATTTTTATTAATATCAAATTAATAATAGATTTCTTAATTTATGAACATTATTAATGTATATTTCTCAAATATTAAATATTTTGCAATAATGCTAAAAATACATTGAAGTAAATAAATTTTACGGTATATCAAATTAATTAATAATTTGTATGTAATATATTATTATATATCATATAATTTATTCATTTCATAATTATTTAATATTTTACCTTATTTAATTCTTCTGAAGTAAAACGCAAAACTGTGGAAATAGCATTTAGCATATGACGTTTACTTGAAACATCACTTGTAGTTAAATAATTAATAAAAACATTTTTCAAATATTCAAGATTTGCCCCTTCTCTAGATTTGCAAGCTTCAAGCCTAAAAATTGTTAATTGTATGTATGTATCAATATTTTTTTTTAAGTTTTTTAATAATTTTTAATTTAAAATTTACCTAGCAATTTGAGCTTGTAAAGTTTTTATATCTTCTTTCTGTTTCTCTTTTATATGTACGATTTCTCTTTGTTTTTCTCGTAATGTAGCTTCTAATTCTAAAACTTTTTTTCTAGACGTTGATACTTGAACTTCTTTCCTTGCTAATTCTTGACTATAATGCAATATTGGAGGACTATCGCTTGTTAATAATCCTGTTACTAAATCGGTTATTGGTTCTGTTCCATTTTCATGTTTTAAAGTATTTGATTTATTTTCTATACTACTTTCTTTTTTAGGTAATAATGCGTGAAATGATGTTTTTAAAGTTAAAATTTCTTTATCCTTTTCTTCGATGAGAGCCATTGATCGTTCTCGTTGACGTAATAATTGTTGTTCCAATGTAGATATTTTATTACGAAATTCATTATCTTTTTGTAATAATAAATGTTTCAATTTTGCATGCTCTTCTTGAAATGACTGAAAAAATAGTATTACTATTTATATAAATTATCTTAAATTTATATATATAGAATTTATTAAAAATTACAAATTCATCATCAAAGAAAAGAAAAATTACCTTTTCTTGATGCTCTAATTTCAATTGCAATTCCCTTTCTTTATTTATAATTTCATTATTTAAAACACGTATTCTTTCTTCTAAATTGTTATTATATGTTTTTAAAAAATGTAGTTGGGTTTTGTTATTTTTATCATGAGATGATGTAATATTTTGACTTTGCATGTTATATGATATATTTGCAACACTGGCATATTTCATTTGTTGTTTATAATCTTCTAATTCTTGTAATAAAGTTTCATACTTTTCTTTATAATCAATAACTTGTTGTTTGTCACATAAATTTAAACTATGTAATAACGCTAAAAATATTGTGAGAAATTATTAACATATTATTTCATTTCCAATTTATATAAAAAAATATTTAAATAACTAACATTTAACATATGGTGATTCGGTTTTTTTATTATCTAAATCTAATAATTTATTATAAAGATTTTTTATTCTAGAAATAATTTCTTCAGGTTCATTATTTAAAGTAATATAATCATGTTCAGAATTTTGTAGACTAACTAATTGATCTTTCAATTTTTGTATAGCTTGTTGATCTTGCTGCCTAAGTCTATCATATCCTCCAACAATTTCTGAAAGTTCAGCTAATCTTGCTTCTAAACCAGCTACTCTTGCTTCATGAGTCATTGCTAATGCTCTAGCTTGTTGTTCTGCAGCAGCTGTCCTTTTTTGCTCCTGTAGAATAAATTAATCATTTTTATGAGTGATAGACATAACTCATCAATATAAGCATCTTTTAAAATTACTTCATGTATTGCATTCAAATGTTGTTTCTTCATAAGAACCATTTTAGATTGTAATGATAAAAGAATTGGAGGTGTTTCTATAGCTGCTTCTTGTGCTTGTTTAAGTTTATTTCTAGTTATTTCTAGTTCAGTTTCAAGTATTTTACATTGTGTTTTATACGCAAACTGATTTTTTACTTGTATTTCAAGTTGTTCTTTATTTCGTCGTTCATCATTTAATAATTTTTGAAGTTCTCTAAAAAATAAAAGTTTTTTTTTTAAAGTT